TCCCACACGTAAGTAGTCAAATACCAGTTTTGTGGCTAATTTCCTTAAGGCTGGCCTTAATAATAATTTTATTTTAACTTGACCTTCAAAAAAAAGTTGAAGGTTTTTATCAGTGAGGGGTTACTCAGTCCTATTTGCCTTCCTAGCTCGAAAAATTATGGTCAGTGGAGCACTGCAAAACTTACCTTGTGTGTTATCTCCAAACTGATGGACGTGGAATCCGTGCTGGCCTTCAGTCAATCCTGTAATGCGTCCCGATACCACAACTTTATTTGCCTTTATTCAAAGAAAAGTGCATTAAGTTTGAGAATACAAGTACTTTTGAACAAAGACTTACTTACAGTTGACTTACCTTTATTAACACAGTAAAGTGATAAAGGCAGACTCCCACTACTTCCCAGCCAGTGAGAACCTCCTTGTTCTAACATTGCTGCTCAGGATTAAGTAACATATAAAAAGTAACATATAAAAAGCACATTACAGAGCAGCATAACACAGCAGGAAGGTAGTAAGCACCTAAATGTCAAATGTGTGTAATGCACTTTGTAGGGTGTGACTCTTGCAATGAATATGTAAATATGACTAAGTACTTCTTCAGTAATGCTTCTGAAGAGGTTGTATTTGTACAGTGAATACACAGGTACATAGCCAAYCTTTTTTCTTTTGCAGTGCTGGGGATCAAGCCCAGAGCTACATCCTCAGTCCCATATCAAACTTTATGAACCCAAAACAGTGTGTGATGGTGCACACCCATAATYCCAGCAGTTAGRAGGCTGAAGCAGGAGGGTCAAAGGTTCAAGGGCAGCCTCAGTAATTTATCAAAATAAAAAGGGCTGGGGGAATAGTGGTAGTGGTAGACCACTGCTGGGTTCAATCTCAACTACCATACATGAAAAAATTAATAATCTAAAAAGAGAACCTCAAATCATACACTCATTATTAGCCCTTTGCTCTTTCTTCATGCAGATATTCTTCCTTGGGGCAAACAGTTGGGTATTTAAAAAAAAAAAAAAAAAAAACCACAAAAAAACCACCCAGCAATATCCAACTTGCTACCCCAGGACTCATTCTCTACTCTAAGTTCACTTAGTAGTCAGACAATATCCTACCCTGAGAGAACATACTCTTTTTTTWAAGTCTTTTTTAGGCACTGAAATCTAGAAACCTTCCACACTAACAAAAAGAAAGGACAATAAAATCACTAAAGTAGTTGGGCTAGGCATGGCCTATGCAATACCAGTAATTCAGGAGGCTGAGGCAAGAGGATTGCAAGTTGGAGGTCAGACTCCGAAATTTAGTGAAACCTTAAGCAACTTAATGAGACCCTGTCTCAAAACATAAAAGATTTTAAAGGGGCAGAGGATGTAGCCTAGTAGTAAAGCAGTCAAGTTCAATCCCCAATACCAAAAACAAAAATAAAAAAAGCAAACCACTGAACTAAGCAGAAAAAAAAAGTAGTATGACATGCCATTCAGGCAGTCATACCAGGTAATGGTACTGCATCTAGAAATTAAGGACACTACTGTCATAGCTCAGGTCAAGAACTGAAATAAAACATAAGACAGGAACTACATCACACTGTAATACATATGCTAGTATCTTTGTTTTTAGCTTAGTTTGTTGTTGTTGTTTATTTGTTTTAATAACCAGGATCAACAAGTATAGTTCTCCTCCCCATACATTTCATAGATACCTGCACATACTACCACTACTGTCCTCTCTGTAAAAGACTATCTACTTGAAGACTAAATATCTACTAAATATAATTCATGTATTAAATAATATTCTCATAGTGTAATTACCAATTATAAAATATAATTGGTAATTATATAACATTGTTATAACGTAATTATAAATTACAAATTTTTTTTCTCTAGTTCGGAATCTTGTTTAATTTTCCATCTGGAAACACAGCTCAAAGAAACAATTCATACAATAGCAATTCATACAATTGCCCTTTTTTGTTCTGAAAACAGGAATTATGATTCCTCTATGTACAACCTTTAATTCTGGAAAAACTCAAATGTGAACACTTCCTCACCCTGAAACAGAGAATCACCAGGCAAAAAGGGCAGGTTCTTTCAAACCCCAACCCACACATGGGCAATGCATACAGGACAAGTAAGTAGTTCTTCAGAAGCAGCTGTACAGTTACACCCTAAGGGACAGGCACCACTGTGCGTAACACTGACATGGGAAGCAAAAATGAATATAAACTGCCCCAGTCCAGTGTTGTCTTGGGTTAATGAAAGCTCAGTATGAGCACATCTCCAAAATTTTCAAGGTGAAAAGTTCTGATTTTTTAAAGTGGGCAACTAAACCAAAATTTTAAATTTGAAAAAGGCCAGACCAGTTTATAGCCAAATTATTACATCTGCCAATCTGTAGAGCTGTAATGTTTAACTATCCAAGGGTCTTTATCAAGTACAAAGGGCACCACCAATATGAAGTTTGGAGCTTAACTAAACAATGTGATCAAGACAGGTGGAAAACCATCAGGAAACTGAGTTTGGCGGGTCTTCACATTTTCCARTGGCTAGAGGGAAAGGATCCCTCAGAGGCTTCCTAGGATTCTCCAGCAGTGGTGAATTACACGGGGAGGAGAAAAGGGAGACAAAACCAAATCTGACAAATGAAACACAGCCAAATGGAGTCAAATACCAAAGAATCTTTTTCAGAAAAGGTGGAGACCAAAATACTCAAATACCAGGTTCTCCCTAGCATACACTACTTTGCATACACTTCTATTCCTGCCCACTCACATTTCTGTAAACCATTTTGAGGACTAAATCTCATTCATATATTAAATCTTCTCTCATGATTAAGCCAAGCACAACAAAACCTTCAGTTGGTAACATTACTATGGTCTGGCGACAGTCTTATCACAAGTTATCTTTCTTGCAGAACAAATATTTTGCAAACATTATTGGCAATGAATATTTCAGAAAATGTTTATTTTACAAAATTTGTTCATGAATTTATCTTTGAGAGATCCCACCTTAAAAAAAAAAATTGTCTGCCATTTGGGCAACCTGGCTGCTAGTAGAGGAGTGAATTTGGTTTAAGGAATGCTCTAAAACCTGTTATTAAGTACCAATTTCATGTAATGTAAACTCCAAGTCTCTTACCCCACCCACTATTCTTAAACAACAGTTCTCAAGGATAGGTGCACATTAAAATCATTTGGAAACTTAAAAAAAAAAAAAAAAGCAATGCACGAGACAGACTTTTATATTCTTGATCGGGGATGGGCCTTTGGTATCTATATTTCCTAAAAGCTCCCCAAATTAATTTACTGTACAACCAGAGTTGATCATCGTTGCCCTGGAAAATTTCCACAGTTAAATCTCTGGCCATCTTCTTGTCCTTGTGGCCCGACCACGACCAAGAGACGGGCCAGCACCATCCTGCAAAGTACCACTTCCGTTCTCTGTTGAATAGTCTTCTTTTTCATTATAAAAATACAAAAACCAATCTTAGCTCGAAAGCTGTTAAAGACCGCGGAACTCAATTCGCAGAACCCCAATCCAGCGCACTCAAGTCGGGAAGGCAGCCCCATGGAGATAATGCATGCGACAGACAATACTCGGGAGGACCCAGCTGCCCCGGAAATCGGACTGCGCCAGTGTGTCCAAGAAACCCACGCGAGCAGGAAAAACACCGCTCAGGGAAGGGCCAGCGCCACTTCACAGACGACCAGCCCCCACCCTGGCCTCCAGACGGCCGCTAGCGGAGGCCGAGGCCCCGCGAGCAACCCGCCTCCCCGGCCCGCGGCTATCTGCACCAGCCCGGCAGGCTCTGCCGTTCTCCGCCCGCACCCCCGCCCAGACCGCCGGCGGCTACACGCCGCAGCGCGGGCGCGCCCCGTGACTCAGCACTTAGCGGACGCACGCGGACGCCAGTGCGGGTGCCAAGGTCCCGGGCGGCGCGGACCTCTGGGCCGGGGGCGTGGCGATGGCGGCCCGACCCGGCCCGCTCCCAACACAGGTGCAYGGGCTGGCGGGCGAGCAGGGCCTCGCCGCGGACCTACGCCCCGGGCCTTGCCTTCTGCTCGAAGTGGATGGTGCCCTGAACCGGGCCGTCGCCTTTCAGCACGCATACGGCCTTCGTTGCCATAACTCGCTGGCAGTCCGATTCCGAGCGCGGCTAACGGAGCTGCAGGCTACGAAGCGGGAGACGCCGGCGCAAACCGGAGTGGAAGCTTCGCGGCTGCTTTATAGGCTGGAGTCCCCAAGGCCCGCCTACATTCTATCCCGGAACCAATCGCCGGCCGCGAGATCTGCCTGCCCCCTACGGCGGCTTTAGAACGCGAGTGGCCATAAATGCTAAGGGGCGGGGCCGAGGGCCGCGCTGAGAACCGTCCTCCGCGCAGCACCCGCTCAGGCCGAGGTTTGAAAAGTCCTGAAACCCGAAACCCGGGGAAAACGGCTTCTCCTTTCCGAAAGATGTGAAGTAGTTCTCCCTGGAAATCTGCAGCTGCTTCGTCTAGACATGTTGTTAGTTATGAGTGACTGTGATCATAATATCTCGTTTGCTGTTTAGAAATTGGAATGTTCCAAAATGGATGGCTTTTTTTTTTTGTAGTTTTCATTTTTTTATTCACAGTGCTTTTGGCTTTGTGGTGTTGTGTATAAAGTCGATATTCCTCAATCCCTGGCTCCACCTTTTCATCTTTACAATTTTCTTAATCTTTGCCCCATACTGTTACTTGTTTGGCTTCATATTTGTGTCTGGCCAGGCCAAAATCCTAAAGATGTCAAAATGGCAACTGGTTGGCTTCTAGGAATCTGTGTTTTTTGTCTGATTCTAACTAAGGACACACGCTCAAGGAGAAGGTTAGAACGGTTCAATAATTTATGACAAGTTCATACAATAGGAGAGAGAAATATTACCCAATCTTTCAAGGAAAATATATTTAAAAAAAAAAAACAATGAAATGAGCAAACAATATTTTTATTTTTAAAGATCAACATATTTTTCCTTGTGAGCTCAGAAATATTTAGAAAGATATAGAGGAGACTTGGATACTTTTCCAGTGCAAGATAAACTTTCACTAATGTTCTCTTAGAATTGTTTTTACAGTGAACATGAATCTGTCTGTAATGGCTTAAATTTTCTCAGAATAAGAATTTCCCCCATCTTAACCCATACTTTCGTTGGGAAAATAGTTTGATAGTGCATAGGGTGGAGGAGAGTGTTCCTGCTTCATTCAATAGTGTGTCTTTGAATAAAAAGTAATGGCTGAACTATTTTCTATGGAAGGGTAAGGTTCCTTATCCTGAAAGCCACTGTTAGTTCACCTAAAGGGATTGCTAAACTTCAGATGGCTGGATTTCTGATTCAGAAAGTTTGGGTTGAAAACTAAGAATTCTGAGTTCATGTCTTGTTCTCTGATGCCTAGTGAGATGCAAGCCGGAGACAAGAGCTGGAAGAAAGGACCAAAGGGACCCAGATTGGGAGCAAGAAGAGACCCACATGGGGAAGACTGAAAAATGCCCACTGGAATTTCTGTTTTGTTTGCTTTGTGGGATTTGAATCCTCTCCATCTCCTCAAAGGCTCATCAATACAATCTGCATTACCCCCAAAGCTCAGAAAACAGAATTTAGTTTTGAAGATGCACTTATCTGGGAAACACTTTATTTATTTAGGCCCTTGAAATCTAATGCATCTGTTGTCAGAGACACACAATTCATATTTGTCATCCTCTAGAAAGTGTGACTTACTAGTATTCACCAGATGAACTTGCATATGCTAGACAGTTACATAAATGCCAATGCTGGCCAAAGGGCCTTTGCCCAAGGCCAAAGTTTCTTTGCGTTTGGGAAGTGAGGGAGGTAGATTGCAGGTCATTGTAAACTTGCCAAGAAAGCAAACCAAGGATACAAGGGGCCACTTTGGGACAATAAGTTACAGCTGTTTTGAGATACTCAAATGAAGCCTAGGCAACCCCTTGTTTGGCTCCATGGAAGGGTTTTGGGTTCTGCAGGATCACTGCCAAACCTGGGCAAGGGGGTCCCTGGTCAAGACCCCCGCTCTAAAAGACCCTGTTCTGTCAATCTTCAGGCAACATCTTCTATGAATCTGTGAAGCCAGAAAGTGCCTCCACCCAGAACCTCACCTCTCTTTCTAAAGTGGAATTAAGGAATTGTAACTCTGTGGCATTTAACAGTATTCATGTCCTCCTTCAGCGGGTTATCTAATCTTGGCACCGTTGACATTTTGGGCCACATAATTCCTTACTGTGGAAACTTTCCTGCACACTATAGGATGTTTAGTAGCATCCCTGGGTCCTATTCACTAGATACTAGTAGCACTCTCCCCACCCCCTTAGCTGTGACAACCCCAAATTTCTCCAAACATTGCCAAATCCCCCTCCCATTGAGAACCGCTGTTCTAGAACACCAGTCAAGTACCCAAGGCCCTAGAATTCCCTGACCCAATATCCTTGATTTTGCTTCCAGGGCCTGAACAGGCCAAGAAGAACTTGGAAGCTCAGAAATATTTAGAAAGAAATAGAGGAGACTTGGATACCTGTGCTACCAGGTCTGCAGGCTGCCACTGTCATCTTCCTACACAGAACTCAAAGTCCAAGAATTCCAAATCTGAACTTGCCTGCTAGGTTCAGATTTTTTGAGACAGAAAGACAGGATATGTTTTATTTGTTTTATTAGCTGTGTTATTTTGATTTATGATATCTAAATATTTACCATATCTTATGTGGTCCTCTATTTCTTGTCTTAGTCCTGCAAATATCAGGGCAGGACTATTCCTTCCAACCTTGACTTTAGGGTGCTCCTGTCCCATCATGTAGTCATGGACCTCATGTATTTCAAACTGGATCATGCTTGGAGGACTCAGACACATCATTTTGAAAAGTTCACTCTTGCACAGGCCACTTTCACTGAGAGTCACGATGTCTGAGAAGTCCACAGAATCCGAAAATAGCTTAGCTCCCCTAAAACCTAGAACATGCTTTGAATCTGACAGTCAGAATGTGTCCCTTGAATGAGGGGAGACTAATTCTGTAGAGAGTGAGAAGTAGGTGCAGGTACCTCAGATCAGATTTTAGCTTGTACTGCAGTGACTGAGCAGCTTTTAATGTGTCATTCTGGCATTCCCGAGAATGAAGCCATATGGGGGACCTCTATGACTAAGAGATGAACTAAAGGTAGAACAGAAATTCAGTCTTGGATTGACATCCTTATCCTCTGCTTTCTTTCACAGGACTCCCTCTTCCATCTTCCCCTTTATCTCATCTCTTTCCCACACTTATTTTTTAAATACTTCTGTCACCTAAGGCAACTCCACTTTTCACCTTTYTCATTCTCAGTAAATAAGTGTTTTCTGTAAATCTGCATATCATACATCACAAATTGTCAACAGGCCTTTGCTCCAAGGCCCTCCCAGACATCAGAGTTTTCTTATGAATTGTAGAAAAATGTCAGAACTAGGTGATACCCAAAGGAAACAGTGCAATGAGTTGTTTTTCAATTCAAGAAACAAATGTACTAATAACTAGAGAGCAAATTAGAAAGACTTAAAAATGGTATTAGCCAGTCCTACCTGCATGTATTCAGTGTAAGTAAATAGCAAAAACAAAAGTTGTTACCAAAAAGAAACGGTGCATGATTACACAGAGAATCATGAAGTATCTGATGCATTTTTAAAACTGGAGAGGGAAAAATATAAAAATTAATTTAGATTGTTATTAGCGAGCAGGAGTAAACGGCCTGGGATCAGGAGTCTGCAAACTCTATAATCAAGAGGTAGCTGGATACTGAAGCATCTTAGCAATGACACATGTCATAGGCTATCTGTTTAATAGCTCCACCCTGGTTGCTAACCCAACTATGCCTCTCTCTATCAGCTTGGATCATTCTCTCTAGACCTCAGCTGTAAATCAGAGGTGCCTGGGTGAGATGCAGTACTTGTCAACTCTGGTTGCAGAGTAGAATTAACCCAGGAGATTTAAAAGCAAAAAATAAAAACACTGAGCTTAGGCCCCACTACCTTAAAATCTTAAAATTGTGTTTATTTATATTGTAAATGCACTTTATATTGCCATAAGATTAATAAGAAATTACCAATGGTTGTCAGTGGAAAGAGGCTTGTTATTTTTCTTCACATAAGAAAAATAAGCCTTTATTGGTTAAACAATCGGTTCCAGTCACATATCATCAGAAGCAATTGCTAGGGCTGGGGATGCAGCTCAGTGGTAGAGCGCTTGCCTACATGTGCTAGGCCCTGAGTTCAATCCCGAGTACTGCCAAAAAAAAAAAAAAGTGGGAATTTTGAGAATCAAAAACAATTGCTTATGGACAGACAAGAAGCCAGCAAAGATGATTTCAGCAACATGATTGTGTTCATTTGTGAGAACACAATCATGAGTCCATCCAATATGGAGTGGATGGACTGAAGCAGGTGGGGTGAGACTGCAGGCTGAGAGGCCATTTGGGAGACATGTTAGGGGGCTGGCCTAAGGCCATTACTGGAAGAGAGGAGAGAGAGGATGGAAATAGAACCTCAAACTCCAGCAACTCATACATGTGCAAGGTGAAGGGAGGCCAGGCAGCCCCCAGGTTTCTGCCCTAGGTGACAAGGGATTTGGTGGTGCTATTAACCAAGGAAAGCAGGTCTGGGACAAAACTTAATTTAGGAGCTGGGCCCGGTGGCACACTCCTGTAACCTCAGTGACTCAAGAGGCTAAGGCAGCAAGATTGAAAGTTCAGGGCCAGCCTCAGCAATTTCGCATGACCCTAAGCAACTCAGTAAGACTCTGTCTCAGAATGAAAAAACCTTAAAAAGGACCAGGATATAATGTAGTTCAGTGGTAGAGCATCCCTATGTTCAATCCCCAGTACCAAAAAAAAAAAAAAAAAGCTTAAACTTAACATGTATGCAATTGAGATTTCTAAAAAAAAATGTATAATCCAGTCCCTTTAGGGGATACAATTTCTCCACAATCCTCTAATCCTCTACCACACTGAATGAGTAGGAGCCAGCTAAGACTTAGATTTGCCACTGATATTATCTCAAGTTTGTCTGGTTCAAACTCTCTCTTTAAAAAAAAAAAAAAAAAAATATATATATATATATATATATATATATATATATATAATTTGTTTGTTCTTTTTAGTTATTGTGGCAGAAGAATGTATTTTGACATATTATACATACATGGAGTATTACTTCCTGTTTTCAGAGTTGTATGTG